GTTGGTTGTCCAGGTAGCAAATAGATTATAATTATCCTGAGGGTCTAGTGCTATCATTGGGCATGTTGGGAGCAAAGTGGCTGGACTTGGAAAATTTGAGGGAATATAACTATATATATCTATATATCTATATGTATATCTATATTTACCTATCTATAGTTGTTCTGGAGATAAGCTGCATCATTTGCCGTCAGTGGGAGAAGTGGGATTTTCCCACTCACTGATTGATTGCTCACATGCCCTTTGGGGCCAATCCCCTATGGATTAAGGCCGTGGCACCTACATTGTATACCATTGTTCTAGGTCACCAGCTCTGATTGTGTGGTCTGAGAGCCCTTGATGGTTTCATTTGGTGAAAGGGTTCTAAATTAGTTGTAATGCATTTTAATAACCATCCCAGAATTTATGAAGGAAGTATATCAAAACTAAATCCTAGGAAGATTGTATTACCTTCTGACATTTGCATTCTTGGGTGATCATAAAATCTGAAAGTAATTTTTGCTTTGACTTGCAAGTCCTGTTTGTGTGAAGAGTACATTTCTTCGAAAGTTCATTAATCTCCTGATGAATGCTTTTACAGTAAAATACCTATGAGTGTTTTGATAGATAAGTAGGTATTTGAAAGTAAAGTAGGATAAGACTTGCTTATCACTTAATATGATAATCAAGTGCCAAGGAAATGGAATTGTATTAATAAATGGTACTAGTAAAGGAGAATGGATGAATGAATGAAAATGTACCACTCAGAAAGTATAACACTATCTGTCTTTCACTTAGTGAGTTGAGCAGGTTGAAAATCTTACTTCTGAGTTAAGTTAAAATAAAATTCCTCGTTCATTTAAATTAAGCACTTTGTACAGTGTAACTAATCATCTATGAGCTATGGTTACAGAGACGAAGAAATAGTCCCAGTCGTCAAAGGAATTTACAGGCCTTGAAAAAGGCTGTGGTAAGAGGTCAAGCAGAGAGGGATAGGATATTGGGGAGAAAACAGACTCTGTCTTGGGTAATCAGGGAAAGCTTTAGAACCTTAAAGGAAGATGAAGATTTAAACAGACAGAGATGTACACAGCATCCATTCCCGACATAGAGAATGGGCCACATAAGAAGCAGGACAAAGTTCAACAAATTCAAGGAATAGCTGGTAAATTTGATAATCGCTGGTGCTTGCTTGTGTAGTGTTTTATGATTTACAAAGAGTCTTGTATGCATGATCTGCCTATGAGGTTGGTAAATATAATCCTCATTTTACAGATGTAGAAACTGAGGCTCAGAGAGCTCTCATTATTTTCTTGTACTCACATAGATAATGAAGAATCAGCAGTAGCATTCAGACCCACTCTTCTAACTAAATCCAGTGATATTGTCACAATACCATACCAACCCTCTGTCATCCAATTTTTCTAGTATGCCAGAAATAAGGAGTTTGTATTTTATCCTATAGGCAGTAGAAAGCTGCTTAAAGATCTTGAAAAAGGGAACTGGCATGACCAGACCTCCATAGTAGGAATATTATTTCAACAGTCATACCAAACAGTGGCTTAGAGAAGGAAGAGATCAGAGGCAGGGAGACCAGTTAAAAATTTATTATTATGACCCAAAAGAGGAATAATGAAGACCTTTAGCCAGTTAATGGAAGAATGAAGGATTTGTTTTACTTAATTGTGTTGGAGGCAGAGTGAATCTCAAACTCTGATGTCACATGAATGTTTATATTTTTCTTAAAACAAAAATGGGAAGTACAGGTTCTGTTTTGACTTAGTTAACCTGGTTGTCATGTGACTGATGTTTATTTTTGACTTTAATTTGGAAAATTATTAGTAAAATTAATTTTAGTATAATCAGTTCATTGAATTTTGGGTTTATTTAAAATTTAATAGTTGCTATTTCCATGAAAACTAATTTGCCAGATAATTTAAATATATGTAGTACTGGGTTCTTGACATACAGTAAACATGTGTGACCCTGGTGACTTTGTGACTTCCATCAATTAAGATCCTTGATTTAATGTAAGACTTTAAAAACTTTTTTATTCTTACAAGCATTTATTAGCTCTCTCTCCTACTACTCTTGCCACTTGCCCCTCCCCACCCATTGAACAATAAAAAAGAAAAAGCTCTTGTAACAATATATGTCTCATTCTGCATTTTAAGTCTTATCACCTTTCTGGCAAGAGTGAGTGGTATGTTTCATTTTTAGTTCTGTGGACTCATTGGTTTTTATTATTGCATTGATCATAGTTCTAAAGTCTTTCATAGCTGGATTGTGTGTGTGTATGTGTGTGTGTGTGTGTGTGTAAAATCTTATTGTATAAATTGTTCTTTGTTCTGTTTTCTTTACTGCATCATTCCATAAAGGTCTGTTATTTCTTATGGTACAGTAATATTCTATTACATTCATATACCATAATTTGTAGAGCCATTCCCCAGTAGATGGAACTCCCTTTCTTTCTACTTTGTGGCTACTGTAAATAGAGTTACTGTAGATATTTTTATACTTAAGGGTCTTTCCTCTTTTCTTCTTTCTTTTATGTCTTTGGGGGTATAGGCCCAGCAGTAGTATGGATGGGTCAAAGGGTATGCACAGTTTAATAACTTTTAGAGCATGATTCCAAATTCTTTTCCCGAATGGCTAGACTCATTCAGAACTCTGTCAGCAATTCATTAGTGAGCCATAAACCCCTTTTTTTGGTCAGTTTTAGCAATCTCATAGGTGTGAGGTAAAACCTTAAGAATTACTTTAATTTGCATTTCTCTGAATATGAGTGATTTTAAGCCATTTTTCATATGATTGTTGATACCTGGTATTTCTTCCTTTGAAAACTAATAAGACCTTTACTCTCTTGCTCAATAAGCTTCCATGACTTCCTGTTATAGGCTTTACAATAAAATACAGACCTCTCAAGTTGGCATTCAACGCTCTTCACAATCTGGCTCCAGTCTACTTTTCCAGGCACATTTTATACTAATCCCCTTATGTTCTAAAATGGCCTCCTTGTCATCATCCAAACTCGACATGCCATTTCTATAGCCATGCCTTTGTACGTGCTGTTCCTGTGCAAGAATTTGCCTCTGCTCATCTTCACCTCTTCAAATCTTTAACCTCTGTCATAGGAGTAGCATCTATTAGCCTGGCTGTTCCTTAAAAGGTATTGAAACCACCCTCAACACTTAATTGGTCCAAGAGACTAAAGCTCAAGCCACTATCTAGCATCTTTGTTATCTAAAGTTTAAGGACCAGTGTGACTTAGTCAGGGGCTCCTCAAGACCTCCACATTGACAAGTGCTAGGGAAGGAAGCTGCAGCCAGCTGAATCGGTGCTACCTCCATCCTGAATAACCTTGTTAAGGAACTTTGATGAGCTCTTAGATGGTCTGTAAACACTCTCATTTAATTCCAGTAATGAACCTCAGTCAAGTATGGCCCAAAACAGTCTCCTCAGTTGCCACCTCCTAATTGAAACCTTTCCTGACCCTTATTAGTTGTCAGTGTTCTCTCTTGAAATTGTCTTGTATTTACTTATCGGTTTACATATTGTATTTTCCAGTAGAGAGTTAAGTTCCATGAGGGCAAAGACTTTGATCTTTTGATTCAAGCAACCCCACACATACATCTACAGTTTTAATATAAGATTATAAAGCTAAATTACATAATAGAGAAGGGATATTTACTTCTAATTCTGTAGTATTTAAAATAACTTTAAAGCTCCTATCTTTTTCTGGATGTGAAAACTAAGTGGATCACATATACCACATTTTAATTTTCTCACGTGGACCTGGCTGAAACAGTCTATTTTTTGCTTAACACTTTTCATGTTAATAGTTAACAAGTTAAAAATTCAAATTTCACAGAAGATTAGAGATAGAAAATCACCAAAAGAAAATCTAGTCCAACCTTTCCCTACTTATGCCAGTGAAGAAGCAAGGTGCCAAGAGATTTAAGTAATTTTCCAAAAGTGACCGTGTCAGGATTCATATATAGGTCTTTTGACTCTAACTCCAGCATTTCACTCTAATATACCACTGATTGGGGCCTAAATTTATGCAGGGTATCCCAAAAATCTTAGTGCAGTTATCAAAGTAGCTTAAAACTGCACTAAAACTTTTGGGACACCCTGCATCTAGTTTTTATTCGTACATTCATATATACAAATTTATTGATAGTCAAAATATATAGTTTTTTGTAGCCTTCCTAATAGAACATATACAAATTTCCCTTAATGGATTATTCATAGTTAGCTTATTATCTGGATTCACCTCCCAAATCTTTATTGAGTTTTCTGTTGTAGCTTTAAAATTAATTTTAAAAATCAAGATAAATCACAAAACTGTCTAGAATCTGCCACTTACGATAACAAATTGTTATATCTGTCAGTATCAATAGAGATAACATACTGGTCTCTAATGTGCTACATGAAGAGGAAGAAAAGACACAAAATTAGAAAACAAAGGAAATAAGAGCAGCTGAACCAGATCAGATATGCCAGGAGGCAAAGTGACTTCCCCACAATCACAGAGATAGCAAGTAAGGAACAAAGCTGGAATTTGAACTCAGAGCCTAGGACTCCAAAAGAAATGCTCTTTCCACAGCACCACATTGCATCTCAGCCAGTAGTCACCACCCCATATGCCTCCTTTCCTTTCTTTACAAAATATTCATGAAGATGATTTACACCACATTTTAAGAACTTCTGTTAAACTATGCTTCAGCGTCAGCTTTCTGAAGTCACAAATGAACATTACATTGACCAGAGTTCTGAGGTCTCTTGGTGTAAATTTTCCTTCTGATTCATTCTCCATCGGTTGATAAAAATCTACTTCTGTGAATTCCTTCACTGGATCATAATCTCATTGGGAACCCAGTGTTTTATACTTCTTTGTGTCACACTCACAGCATATTATATAATAGGCATGGCAATAAATATGTGTTGATTAAGTTTTATAACATAAGCATGTTGAAATTGAAATTAAAATGTATTTTAAAAATTTTGTTTTCAATTAGGTGATCAGCTGTAAAGGTCAACACAGTATCTCTTACACTTTATCAAGAAATCAGACAGTAGTGGTGGAATACACACATGATGATGATACTGATATGTTTCAGGTAACTATATTTTTGAAACTGAACATTTTCTGTATTTGAGCATTTTAAATATCTTTTCTTCTCAACACTTTTCCTTTTTGATGTAGAATCTGAATTTCAAATTGAAGTTGAACTATGCTCATGTCATATGTAGAAGTAGTCATAAATAATCCAAAAATAATTTCTGTTATCAAAATATTTTTGTTTTGAAGTAATTTTGTACCTGATTTTGAACATGGATTTCATCTCAAAACAAAAATGAAACCATTCTATAATGGCATGACTCAAGATAAAATTGGAAAATTGGCTACCTACCCCCATTCTGCCTGTCTCCTAGACCCTCCCTTCCGTCTGTGTCAGCAGTAGATGTGTCACCTGTCCCTGGCTCTGATAATCACAAGACCACAAGAGCTAGCCCTCCTTTCTAAAATGTATGATTTCTGTCTTCTGGGGGAGAATAGCTGCTTTGATTTGAGTACTTTTCTTGTAACTGACTGTCCTAGATATGTTTATGGCAACAAAGCATTTAACTAGAGCAGATGACAGTAAGAATTGAAAAGCAAACTCTGTCACAGAGAATTTACTGTAATATTCCTTATGCAGTATGAATTTCCAAAAATGCCCCTTTCAATCAAAACAAGAAAAACAAACAAGAAAATTAAATAATTGACTAAATATCTTTATTTCCAGTTGACATTGTCTTTCCACAACTTCATAATGATCTTGCTTTTCTTTTGGATGCTTTCAGAGATTGCTTTCCATTTCTAATCCATTTGAATTATCTCATTCAAGTTAAGGTTTATGAATTCAGAATGCTACAGAAGCAGTTGTTTGTAATTTTAGGTGAAAGCTTTGTATTTACAGTACCTTTTGTCACTGATGACAGATATGAAAATGTAATTTCACACTAGCCTCATTAGATTGAGAGCTGGAGGGGAACTGGAGGTTATTCAGGCCAAGCTGCTTATTTTATACAGCTGAGGCTTCCATAGTTGAAGTGACTTGCCCAGGGTCAGAGTGGTAGCCATTGTCAGAGCCAGATTCAAACCCACGTCCTCTGACTAGAAATCAAGCACTGTGCCTCCTGATCCATGGGATCAATCAGATACTTGGCCACTTAACTCCGATTTCTTTAGGAGATACTCTGTCTTGTGTTAGCTTCTGTTTGATCTTCTTGGGCTTATCAGTCATGAGATGGTAACAACAGAACCATTAATTACATCGTTTAGCAAATATGTATTGAGGTTATGTGCAAAGAGCATAGGACAGTCTGTGTCCTGAAGAAACTTGTAGCAATAGTAGATCTGGGTATATGGGACAGAGTGCATGAATGGAGCAAGAGTTTTGTGAATACAGCTAAGAAAACTGTTAAAAGAAGAACTTTAATATCAGTGAGTTCATAGACAGTTCAAAGGTATTTCTGTCAGCTTTCATCAGTAAGGAGTTGGGAGCTCCGGCAAGAGCTAAGAGCTCTTGCCTGACTGTAGCTGGCAGAGAGTGGTCTGTTTGGATACATACAGGCATAATAGCATCCCAACCAGTCTTCAAGTAACTATGTAAATATTATTCAGTAGTTTTAATCTGTGTTATTCTCATGTGTTGAAAATGTAACAGAGATGTTGGATGAAATGGGTTTGATAAATGTTTTAGCAAATTAGGTATATCATTAAGGTTTGCAGATCCTTCAAAATTATGTTTTGGCTGAAGGCGTCGTTGAAGATCCCTTCTGAGAGGCAGCAAGTTTTGAGAGTGTTACATTTATCACTTAACCTCAAATAGGAGCTTCAGTGCTAACTGATGAATCAACTCCCTGATGGTGCCGCACCTACAGTTCAAGTAACTGCCACCACAAGATCACTTTAAATTATTTGCTGTACTATATGTGTTTTTACAAGGGAGGAAATCTACTTAAGGTGGGAGGCATAATGTGATTAGTAACTTACCTTCCCAAAAGAGCATAAATAGTTTTTAATGCACAAACAGGTGGAACGATTTTGTTACTAACACTGTCAAAGTGTGTGCCTGTGTGTCTGTGTGTAGAGAAAGATTGAGAGATACATACATAAAAAAACATGTAGGAACTTTTTGAGAAAACAAACTGCACACAACAAATGCTCACAATTTCTTATTCAAACTTTTCATTCTTTTAAAAATATTTAAATATTTGTGCTTTTTGTTGACTGAGTTCATGATAAAAAAATTTGTTTAAAAAAAGGTTATCATTACTTTGTTCCATATATTTTTCAGTTAATAGATAGGGATTCTCACTGCTTGGAGCTGCCAGTGCCCAGTTTACATAATTTATAAACTTATTCAGCCTTTTGAAAATCAAAAACAAAGAAAAAAGCAATAGAAATAGTGTTTTATACGTTTTCCAGAATTGATATCATTGGGAGGCCCTCAGATTCAAAAGAAGCTACCTATAAGATACAGGATATACACCTGGATTTAAGCAATATGTTATGGAATAGAGAGATGAAAATGATCATAGTTAGTATTCAGTATTATTAATTACTTGTTTGGGTGGAATGGTGAGGTCCTCCAGGAAAAAAAATGGGAGCCTTCCAAAATTAGGAATTTGAAGTATATGGAAAGGAGGCTCAAGTATAAATGAAAGGGATATAGGAAAATTTGTCGGATGACTTGCTGATTCTATAAATCCCCACCACTTATTGAGATGTCCAATGGCATATGAAACAGAAAAGTTTAGAGCCCTTTTAATAGAGTGGGTAGAGCTGGAAGTTGGTGCTATTTAAAATATATATATAAAATCTCTTTACTACCACTTTTTAACTAATTAGGCAACAATAAGTGCTTTTACTTGTATGGTATTATTAGATGGCAACAATTTCATCCCTATTTGGTTATAGGAAATACTCTACAGAAAACCTATGAAATTTAATCTTGCTTTATGCAGTGGCTGGGTTCTTAAAATCGTGTACAGCTTTTTCAAGAATACAGGACAGGTTGGAATTTTACTATATAAAAATTCAGGTTTTGATCTATTCTCATTGAATAGCCCAGGCCCTGTCCTGCACACTAGCTGCCACCAGACTCCACACTGGTTATTTGTTATTCTGAAGCGGCACGAGCTGTTGCAGCAACAGCAATGGGCTAGAAAAGAAGTGGGAAAGGTTTAATCATTGTACCCTGTATATAAGTGGACTGTAATTTGGGAGGAACTTTTTTCCTGTTACCTTTATAAAGTTTGGCCTTGATTTGAGGGTAAATTGAATTGTTTGAAATATACTGAAGAAGATCACTGTTAAAAGGAATACTGCAGTAAATCCCTTTTTATAGAATCTGAAGAATGTTTTCTAAAGTCTGATGTGTCTGCTTCTACATATTTGGATAGTCTTTTTTTTTTTTGAGGGAGGAAGAGGAATGTCCAGACCTATGATTTCATCAGGGTAGGAATTCCCTCCTTCCTGCCAGTGCAGACCAGCATCTGTCCTGCCACTTCAATGTTTTTAAATGTGCTGGGGCTGGGGGGCACAGAGCCAAGATGGTGGAGTAAAAGCAGGGACTTGCTTGAGCTCTTCCCCAAACCCCTTCAAATACCTGTACAAAATGAGTGTAAACAAATTCTAGAGCAGCAGAACCCACAAAAAGACAGAGGGAAACAAATTTCCAGCCCAAGACAACCTGCATGGTTGACATGAAGGGTCTGTTGTACCAGGCTGGGAGAGGCGTTTGCCCGCGTAGACCAGGCCCCAGAGGACTGAATCATTGGCAGCTGTGGCGGTTTCCAGACTTCTCAACCCACAAATGTCAAAGACAACTTAGAAGGTCGGTAGGAAAAGTCTCTCAGATCTGGGTGAGAGAGGAACACAGACCAGTCCTGGCCCCAGCATGGCCCTGGGGCTGCAGCAGCAGCAGTGGTTGCGGTTGCTTCCAGAGCTCTCAACCCACAGACAACTGGTCAGAAGGAGATTACAGGGATCTCTTTGCTGTCACTAAAGCAGGATTCTGTTGATTTGCACGTTCTTGGATCTGAGTGGCAATCCTGGGGCAAAGAGAAGCACTGGCATAGTAGAGTTTGTGGCAGCAGTGCAAAGGGAACTCTCCTCACAGTTCCAGGACAGAAGAGAGTACTTGTGGTCACTCACAGACCAGAGCACAGGCCAGGAGAGTAATAAACACTTCTCCTTAGATCATACCACCTTAGAAGGACTGAAAACTTATAGGTCTCTAGAAGTATCTCTGAAAACAGCTGCACAAACCCCCTGAAACTTGGGATAGGTGTGCCCTCCAACCTGAAAGCAGAGCTCTTATCTTAACAGAGAGTTAAAAAGTCAAGTAATTGGCTGGGAAAATGAACAAACCAGAAAAAAAACTCAGACTATAGAAACTTACTTTGGTGACAAGGAAGATCAAAATATAAAATCAGAAGAAGCAAAGTCAAAGCTCCTACGTCCAAAGCCTCCAAGAAAAATATGAATTGGTCTCCGGCCATGGCAAAGCACAAAAAGGATTTTGAAAAGCAAGTAAGAGAAGTAAAGGAAAACTTGGGAAGAAAAATGAGAGTGATAGAAGAAAATCATGAAAAATGAGTCAACATCTTGCTAAAGGAGACCCAAAAAAATACTGAAAAAAATAACACCTTGAAAAAGACCAAATGGCAAGAGAACTCCTAAAAGCCAGTGAGGAGAAGAATGCCTTAAAAAGCAGAATTGGCCAGATGGAGAAGGAGGTCCAAAAGTTCGCTGAGGAAAATAATCCCTTAAAAACTGAAATGGAACAAATGGAAGCTAATAACTCTATGAGAAATCAAGAAATTATAAAGCAACCAAAAAAAGAGAAAGTGGAAGACAATGTGAAATGCCTCATTGGAAAAATAACTGACCTGGAAAATAGATCCAGGAAAGATAATTTAAAAACTATTGGACTACCTAAAAGCCATGATCACAAAAAAGCCTACACATCATTTTTCAAGAAATTATCAAAGAAAACTGCCCTAATAGTCTAGAACCAGAGGGTAAAATAGAAATTGAAAGAATCCACCGATCACCTTCTGAAAG